CCTCGCCTTTTGCTGAGGCGGTTTATGCAAAGGCGGGCGGGCCCCCCTGGGAGGAGTCCCATCAGGATGATGTATTGCTTTGCCTTTGCCTGGCACTCTGGCTTCTACTGGCACTCCTCCTTTCATCCCTTTGGCTTTTGCAGTCGCAGATCCAGGGGGATCCCAGGGAGGTGTCGAATCCCAACACTGAGGTGTTGGCGGAGGATTCGGCGGCGCAAGTGCCTGCGGCTGAATTCTGCTCATTACTGCCCTTGTTGCCTCGACCCTCATTTGCTGGCATTGTTGCATCAAGTCCAGACCCTGCTGGAACTTTGCTTCCAGATTCTTGCACAACTTGTACAGATCGGCCACCATTTCACCAGTTCTCCACTCATTCGGTCCATAGTCAGATTTGAATTTTTCGCCAGCGGCAAGCATCTTCTTCCAGACCTCTGACGCGTACTCGGAGACGGTGGCGCTGTGGTTTGAGGGAATTTGCCACAAGCTCAGAAAGCAGTTGAGGTGACCCTTCATCTTTTTTGCGGGAACAGCCATAATTGGTAGGCAACCGGAGCTGTCCACCAAGGCAAACGTCAAATTCTCCGCCCCCACTGGCACTCTGCCTTTGTGGTCCGGCACTCTGCCTCCCATGACAGTAATGTTATTCTCATGGAGGTCCCCCAGACGACACCCTTCCTGCCTAAGGGTATGCATTTGTAGCTTCAAGACAAACTTGAACAGCTTGAAGAGGATCAGCATGGTCTCTTTCTCTGGGAACTTGATTGGGTCGGAAAACCTCTGGTTGAGGAAGGCTCCCACAGTCGTCCCTTCGCCTTTGGCTTCTGTGACGAGCACCGATTTTCTCATCCGCGGTGCCACTACGCCCGAGGCATGGGTGACCAAGGTTTTCAAGTCGAAAGCGAGAGGGACAGGAAACGATTGCCAGTGGGTTGTGAACGTTCGAGATTTCAGAAAACGCCAGTCATATTGGTTTCCACACTCTGTTTCATCCTTTGCGAGTTTCCTGTGCAGCTTGACACAGAGGTGCACCTGATCTGTCGGATGATCGAAGTCCAGAGCATCTTCAGGAATAGAATCCACCAGTCTCAGGGCCTCTGCTGCGACTGTCGAGGCTTTGAGGACTTCGGCACTCTGCCTTTCAGACCGAGGAATCCTGAGCTCGCGCAGAAGCTTCAGAATGTCGATGACCCACGGCTGTGGGATCTTCGCAATCATTGAGTCCCGATTCATTCCATGACCGACGTATTTCCATTCACACTTGCACTGTTTGAATCCTTGCCCGCCTCTCACGCGGAATTGCAGGCGGACCTCACCGAAGGCTGTGACATAGTATTCTAGAGGTTTTTTGATCGGCAGGGAAAATTCCCACCCATCTGCAAGGATCCATCCAGCTCTTGTTCGTAAAACTCAGAGGTGATGTTGCCGGCTCGCACATTGGCCCAAAACAATTGACCAAGCGGACTCGTATGCACAGGCGCTGTCATCCTGCGGCACTCTGCCTTGTCCAGCCAGATTGCGGCACTCTGCCTTGTCCAGCCAGATGCAGGCACTCAGCCTTCTCAGTCCAGCTCAAGGCACTCTGCAAAGAATGGCGAGGCGGCACTCTGCCTTATAATGTCGAAATGATATACTACCTCTGACGTCAATGTGTTGTTAGATTATAGTTACTAGTATTTGACACAATTTAAATTATATCAACTATATTTTGATATTATGCTCACATTGACATTAAATATCATGCATATGCCATCATTCAAGGACCACGACTCACTTCACTTTGAGCAACTCCATCGACAGAATAATCATGA